GGGCTGAGGGGCGGCAGGAGCACATCTGCGGATATGCTGAGTCTGCAGTGGCTGTGAGACCTCCAGGGAGGCTAGCGGACATCTAGGTAAGTGCTCTGAACTACAGGACAAATTTGAAAGTCATTGGCACAGTAACCTACATCAAAGCCTGCCCTGAGGAGAGTGACGGTATGGAAGGTGGGCCAGGCCCGAGCACGAGGAGCCAACATCCAAGGGGAAGGCAGAAGAGGAGGTGTGGCAGTCAGTGAGTGAGAGAAACAGGGTGGGGACAGAATCAAAAGGGCAGCAACCTTGAGGCCAAGGGAAGGCTGGTGAGGAGGAGCGTGGTCATGGTGTCAGAAGCTGCAGAGAAGCAAGAGAGATAAGGGCAGAGAAACATCCATGGAGGGTTTTCTATCAGCTGAATGTGGCCAAGCTGGTTTCCTTGGTGATGGGAGGCTCTGGCTGGCAGACAGGCATGTAGTCATGAATTTCTTCATGTGCCATTACCTTATTTTTGATTAAATGCAGTCTGCGCAGAAGGCATACTTTCAAAACATGACTTGCATGGGGAGTGGAATGATAAATGGCATGAGGGTTACTAAGGATGGGAGGCAACCCCCCGGCTGCCTCGGGAGCTTCCCAAAAGGTAGGTCTGATCATGCCCCTCCCAGGCTATCATCTTCTCATGGTGGCTGTACCTTCTTGGGACCAAAGTTGCAAAGTTGTCCCCCTGGTTCTGCTCTCCTGTCCTCAACACTCATGGCCTTCCTGGGGCCACCCTCCAGGCTCCAGCATTACCCAGGACTTTCGGCCTGCCAGCCTCAGTGGGCTGCCCCTCACCCCTTGGGCCCACTGTGACACTTCCTTGTCCATCTGATTGCCACCTGGTCACCTTCCCAGCTCTGGCATCTCCCTCCTCCAGGAAGCCTTTTGTAACCACTTCTCCTTCTGCCAGCCCAAACTCACGTTGAGCAACTGCACTACCTGGGGCCTTGTCCATGGCCTTGCGGCGAACTACATGGGAGCATCTGCTTGGATCTGTCAGCTTCCATGCACCTCCCTTGCCAATGCTCGAGGACCTTGGGGACTAACATGGACTGTGGACCATGGGTGGCCTGTCTCATGCGTCTGCTCAGCGAGTTCACACATTTGCCTGAGGTCATGCAGGGGAGCAGCAGAGAGGTTCTGAACTCAGCCCTAACTCCTTAGTCACAGTGCAATGGTCAGCACTGGACTTGGTGTAAGCTAGCTGCTCCCAAAATGTTGCTGAAGAAATGAGTGATCTGAATAGGCAGCCTGTGGGATCACAGTGGCCGGGGTGGAAACAATGCACCCTCCCAGCCCCTGGTGTGCCCTGTGTCTTTCCTTGCCTCTAAGGAGGTTGGAGAAGGGAGCTCAGCGCTGGGCCTCACTAGCTGTTGACTTTGGGTGGCATCCAAGGCAGGCAACCCACTCAAGGGACTCTAGCAAAGTGCTAGAGGTGGGGCACCAAGGGACAGTCACTTCACCTCTGCACTCCCTACTGCCTCTGAGCTAACTCCTGCCCACTCCACTTGGGCCTGACACCCATATTTTTTTCTCACTGAACCATGTGGGGCTTATTTAACATTGTTGGTCCTGTCCTATTCTTGTTACTCCGCAATGCAAAATGTCAGATACTCACAAGCCTTTTACCCCAGACGAACTTGGGAGAAGGCAGCAGCCCACTTCTGAAAGGTTTTGAGATCCCTCCTTTGAGAAGCTTTCCCAGATACCTCTGGAAAAAGCACCGTGGTCCTAGTTATGTCCAACTCCTCCTTTATATGAGCCAGATTTGTCACTCCCCTGGGAAGTCCTCCCTGACCCCCAGTGGAGGCTGACTCTCCCCATTATATCCTCATTGCTTCACCACTGCAATTTACATTTATTTGTGCTTTTTGAGATAAGTACCCCTCTAACCCACCAGAAGACAGGGTCCAGAAAGACAGGGTCTGATTCTGATTTTGTTCACCCAAGGTTTAGTACCCTGCCTGTCAGTAGGTGCTCCTCCAATATCAGCAGAATGAACAAAGGATTCTGGGTTCGACTTACACCTGCCACTTCTCTGTGACTGCTAAGACCTTGGGCAGGCTACATCACCTCCCTGTGCCTCAGTTCTTCTCTCAGTAAAATGGCATTCCCACCACGCACCTCCCTTAACCGTTGTAACTCAATGTCACAGTGAACGTTAAGAAATTCCTACAGGAACTGACACAGAATAATCGCTGAATAAACAAGCTGCTGCGCTCCCAGAGGGCGGGACTGGCCCGAGGGCACGCTGTCCTCGCCATGCCTCACCACATCCAGTCAAAGGTCGCGCAGCCCCTTGGCGCCAGGCCTGGCTTCCAAGCCAGCTGTGGCCCGCGCTCCCCGCGGTCTCGAGTTCCCCGGGGTCCGGACGGAAGTTTGAGCCTCGGGCCCAGACAGGTGAGGATGGGGGTCGTGCAGCCGGTTACCTGACAATTGCGGCAGCCCACCGCGTTACCTAGTAACAAGGCAGGGCTCGAGGACGGAAGACCCCTAGCAACAGGGTGGTGCCCTCAGGTGTGAAACCAAACGGCTTCCTTGCCTAAGACCAGGGTGGCTCCCCTTGGCAGGTTACCTAGCAACAGGGTGGGTCCCCACGGGGCGAGGCCCCCGCCGGTTGCCTAGCAACGCGGAAGGTGGCGAGCCCTTGGTACCTTGCCCTTCAGGTCCAGTACGTAGACGGCACTGGCGGACATGGCGGCTGCGGAAAGCCTCGGCAGTGGCCGAGAGCGGCGGCGACAGCGGGAACTGCCAGGCGTTGAGCGAGGCCGGGCGCGCCCCGCGACAGTTCGCCTCCACTTCCGGTCCGGGGAGCCGCGCGCGGACCGTTATGTCCGGCGGGGGAGGAGCTGCCAAGAATGCGCAGGCGCACGGCGCAGCTTGCGCAGGCGTAATAAGCCCGATGACCCTTGTTTCCTGGTCCTTCCTCAAGCATCCCGGAAGTAAGCCCAGAGGGGCGGGGCTAGGATGGGCGGGGCTAAGATGGGCCGGGCGGGGTCGGGCGGGGCCGACTGAAGCAGAGAGCTCTCTAGCTGCCTGGCTGGGCCACTGAGGCCGTAATAGCTGGAAAACCCCACTTTGTGGGCCAAATTAGGTGAGAGATCCGGTGGTGGAACCCACCTAGCTCCCAGCCCTATGGAACTCAGTCTGGTCAGGAAATCTAGGAGACAAATATACAATTACTAATTGTGATACCCTTTATATGGAAGGTAAGGTAGTGGTTACTTGGAAAGAGGCCAAACTCTGTGAATGGCAATCAAGCCTTATCAAATCACTTCCTGTCACCCGTCAGTGTCAACATTTGTCAGTGAACAAGCGTGCCAGTTTATTGACTGAAATAATCTCCTGAAAACCATGCCCCACTGAACCTAGGCATAAAGCACGTGCTTTCTTTCTATAATTAGCGGCCACTGTGGGTATTGCATATTGTGACCCCTGATTAATTGAATTATATCTTGTTTGCTTTTATGAAATCGGGCTTTTGAGAAATGCCTGCATTATATCCCAATGAACCATCACAGCGCCCTGAGCCCAACTCTGCAGTTATGAGAACCATTTACCCAGGCTGCCAGCCTCTCACTTTTATCTTCTCTACTGTCTCCATCTGAGGTGTTGAAAGATAGTTTTTGCAGTCTGTGCTCATATGTTCTCTACTTAGGGTAGAGATGTTAAGTGTAAGAAAATCCAAAGAAAACTGGAACCTCTAAAGATTATCAAGTGAATCCTGGGCTGGAAGAATTCTTGCACAAAGTAGCCGAGAGGCTTTTTGACACCAATTGTCTCTTAGAAATCCTATCACACCTAGTCTCATAATATGCCCAATTCATTGCAATGTTATATAAAAATATGCCCTTTTTAAAAAATTACAAAACTACATCTTACTGAGAAAAATGCCAAAGAGTTTAAAGCATAAAGAAAGCTACCACGGAGAGGTAACCCCTCTTGTTCCAGAACATTTCCTTTCAGGCTTGCTCTGGGCATTTTAGATGTTTAATACAGTATCAAGGGGGCTGGGAAGACCAAAGTCTTTTGAGGAAACAAAGGCCAAGAATACTTTCACAGTAAGTACTCTTTACACATAAATTACTTGTAACCTCCTTTCCTCCATTTGTGGGGGAATTTGAATCATATGTGAATTTCATCCTTGGCAGTTAATGTATAAGCCAGATTTGACCTCTACAACATCTCAGGCCAGACTTATTGTGGTAGACCAGTGTTTCTCAAGCTTCGTTGCACACTGGGGTCACCAGGGGAGCTCTGAAAAATCTCAGTGACAAACCTGACTCCAGGCAGCATCAATGGTGCTTACTGCTTGCCAGGAGTCCAACAGATTTGGAGAACCATTGTGGTACACTATAGCAGTGATGGCCCCCAATAAACCACATCTCCTGGTGTTTCTGCCCTTGTGTAGTTCTTCCCAGAGTGTTTGGCAATGACTTGTGTTGGCCAACGGAACAGGTTATGGGAAGAGAGGTCCTAGAGGACCTCCTGGCTCCTGGCAAGTCAACACAGCTCACAGTGAACTAAACTACACTACATGGAGCAGAAGTCTGCAGCTGAGCAGTAAACCCAAAGAATGTTGAAAGAAAAATACTGTTGCTTTAAGTCACTCAATTTTGAAGAAGCTTGTTAGAAAGAATTGGAGTATCTATCTTTCCTGGTACTGGCTGCAGGCTTTTCATAGCACCAGAAGATCATGCTCACAGACCCCAACAACCAGCTCATGGATGGACAAGGCCTAAAGTGCCTTTCTACCAGTCGATGTGGGAATCCACCCAAAGAAGCCACTGCTAATGAGAGGTGAATCACCTCTTTCGGGTGGGTTGCAAACCACAGGTGGAAACACACATCATCTAATTTCCTTCAAATTGAGGGTGAACAGTGGTTTTGCAGTATGTACATTCGTGTGTGATAATCCAAAAGGCAGCATTTCTAGTGGTAATCAGCCTATAATTAAGACACTCAGACTTATATTTAATAACTGTTTTTTGTTTTATTCTGCTTTCACATGACAGTCCCAAACACTTGGTTTTTCTTTTCTTTGTTTTCTTTCAGCATCTGTCAACATCCTTTCTCCCAACAGCAATACGCAATTTGATCCTCACCTGGCGGGTCCGTGCAGGCCCTCAAAGATCCTGGCTCTCCAGCACAGGACCCTGGGTCCTCCCTCTGACTGCCCCCACGTCTGTGCTGGGGCTCTGCCTTGGTCTTCTCACCTGAGGGGTGTCGTCAGGCCAGCAACACCAAACATGTGATGTGCCAACAATCAGTAAATATGCGGGGCTCTTCAGAGCCTAGGGTTGAGGGTGAGAAGGCAGGCTGAGTCTGGGTTCCACTGCAAAGAATGCTGTGCTTGACTGGCAATGTCTGCCAAGGCAACATCTGCTAGACATGTCTGGAATGGGGATCCTGGGAGAAGAGGTCACATGCTGGCCACAGGCATACATTCCATCCTTGCCTTAGGTGGTTCTGCTTCTCCAGCTGCACTGTCTCACTGGCCCGGTGGCCGAGGAGGCAGTCTGAAGGCCACGAAGCTGAAAGGGCCTTCCCCAGGCCCTGGATGGAAGTGCAAAAGCCCCAAGCTAGAGGGAGCTTGGAAGGGCAGCCCCTGCAGGGCCCTACAGGGGTCTACATGCTGCAGTCCATGTTGGCATCAGCTCCTTGTCCTCTGGAGTCAGGTTCATCCAGGCAAAGCTAGCTGGCTGGCTGTCACAAGAATTAGACACGACTCAGGAGTAAAACACTTTTCCATAGCAGGTACACAGAAATAATCTTAATCTCTGGATAAACTTTCAAAAATTTCCAGTCCAAACTAAAGAGGTTTATCTTCTATGTGCTACCAAGAAATCAAAAGAGAGTTAAAGGACAGTCTTACTTTAATCAAGTTCCAAAATGAGGGCAAATTGCTCTGAAAAGCACTGCTCGGCAGAAGATGCCAGGGTGTCTGTAAAAGAATGTTTCTGGAAAAAACCAAAGGCACCAAACATAACCCCAACTTTGCCTTCTGCTTCCCCCGACGCCACTCCTTGTCCTGGGCGGGGAGGCTACTTCGTCCAGCTGACTTTGGGGATGTCATAGTGCTCTGTGAGTGTGTCCAGGTGTCTGTTGAAGTCCTGGGAAAGCCGAGGAGAAAGCCCGCGTCAGCACAGACCCAAGCAGGGCACTGGGCATATGTGGCGCTGCCCACTCCCACTTCTCCACACCCTGTCTCTCCTCAATGAACCCCTCCTCTCAAAGCCACCCAGCCAGGCCTTAAGAGATGCCAGGACCCTGGTCTTGCCCTTAAATGACCCCGGGGAAGGTGGGTGAACCCCCTCGCCACCAACACTCCAATGGCTTCTCTGCCCGGCTCCTCACCTCTGGGCCCAGCCTGATCCCCACATGGCTCAGTCTCCTCCATCAGCACAGGACTTACCTCGACTCTCTGCTTGTGGGTTTTGGATGCTTTCTTCAGGATCCTTTCCATTTGCTGAAGAGAGGAGAGAAATGGAGGTGAGTCATGTGCCTGATGCAGCCCAGGTCAGCATGAGAGGGAAGCTGGGAGCCCTGGCCAGCCTGGCCTTCACACTCAGAATGGCTGGCGGTCTCAGGGTGTACATCTTGCACCTCCTTCACCTCCACTCGGGTTCATCCAAGAGGGATGCCCCTAACACATTCCACTGGGAACCCATGTCAGCTGCCCTTTGGTCTGAGCGGCAGGAAAGGCACTAGCACTGACTTAAAGAGCCTCTGCTGGGAGCTGCACATGTGCTTCCTGCATCCTCAGGGAACTGACTGCATTCTCAGTGTGTTGAAAAACAAAGACTCAGACGGGGTTCGAGAAAAGAAGAGAAATGAAAGTAAGAGGCTTGACACATAGCAGGTGCTCCAGTGACAGTCCGCAGCACTGAGAGCGCAACAAGGTCCAGATCACCTTGAGAAGCACGGTTCTGGAATATGCATCCTGTCCCACCGCAACCTGCCCCACCACTGGTGTCCAACACCAGTGGTACCTGGTGAGTGAAAAGCACACACTGCAGAGCCAGCCAGACATGGGGATGCACCTAGTTCTCCACTTACGCGTGGATGACTGTGGCTGACTCTCTCTCGTTGGTACATCCCCACCCCACAGACTGAGCTGCCTGGCACTGGTGCCCTGGTGCAGTCCTCTGCCACACTGACTCTGGGCTCAGTTTACTTAACAGAATGCAGTGCCAGTGCTGGACTGAAGCCGTAAGACCCAGCAGCTTTTCCTTTGTGCTCTTGGAAGGCAACCACCATGCAGAAAGTCTGCTGATCTTGCTGGAAAGCAAGGACCTGGAGAAGGAGGTGACACATGGGGAGAGAGGCCATGGAAGGATCACCGAGGCACGAGACATGTGATGGTGAAGCCATCTCGGATGTTCCAGCCCAGCTGGGCCTCCAGCCCCCACTGCCACTGACTGCACCGGACTCCAAGGGAGGCCAGCAGAAGAACCACCCAGCTAAGCCCAGTCAGACCCACAAAAGCATGAGAGGTACTGGTGACTGGACCTGGCTGCTCCCCCACATCCCTCCTCTTGTACGCTGCCTTCTCATCCTCGCTGCATCCAGGCAGCCTTCGCTAGGCTGACACTCCCCTCTGGAGTACCTGCCTTGTCCACCTTTGCCTCTTCCGGCTGCCGTGAGCCCACGTCTCCTCACAAGAGGCCACACTGACTTGACCAGCTGTCACCACTGCCAGGCATTTGGCAGGCCTCTGTCCTCCCTCTTCCCATTCCATGCACCGAGTTCACAGGTGCCTCAGGTGCTGTCACCAACCCCATTTCACAGACAACAGAAAAATGAGGACCAGAATGCACAGAGGAAGAGGGGGCTGGAGATACCAAGCCCTGTCCCTTCCAACAGGCTGGGGCCTTCCTTCCAGGAGCCGTCCAGCCCATAAAACTCTCTGTGCTCAATCTAACACTTCCATGTGGGCATCTGGATTTCCAGCTGTACCACGCTTTGCCCACACCTGCTCCCTTCTCTCTCTCACCCATCTCATCTCTTTGTCTTCTGGGTCAAACAAAACCCACAGCAATACTTCTGGTCTTCAATACCAACAACAAAAATTTCACCTGGACTTTTGCACCCTCTAGCTACAGGCCCGTTTCTCCGTCCCCTTTGACAGCATATCTCCCAAGACTTATTTCTAATCCTTGTCTCCATGTCTGCCTTGCCCCACCCCCACTTAGAACCACTCTAATCAACCTTTCTTCCTCCTCATTCCAGATGCCAAATGAGGGCTCCGAGTGCTCAGCCCACTAGATCTCTTGCCAGATTATAACAGTTGATCACGTCTTCCTTCTTGAAGAACTTTCTCCACTCGGGTCCTAAGGACACGCTCCCTCCTGGCATCCTCCCTTCCCGTGCTCCTTTGAAGTTTCCTTTCTGCTACCCTATAATTACCAGAGGCCAGATGCTACACTTTTTCTGTCACTACCCCTCCTCAAGGATCTCATCTGGTCCCAGAGCAATTCTCATTTGTCTGGGCGCAGACTCTTCCTCCAAACTGCAGATTCAGATATCGAACCATTCACGAGAATTCTCTGCTTGGATTTCTAACAGATACCTCAAATTTAACTTCTCTCTAAAACCAAGACCTTGATCCCCTGCTTTAGAAACCTGCTTTACGTGAAGTCCTTTCTATCTCAGTGAACAGCACCTTCATTCATCCAGCTTCTCCTGCCAAATTCTCCCATCTTGGTCTTCCTTGATTCCTCTTTCTCAGTCCACAACCAATCCATCAGCTAATCTGGCCGTTCTTCCTTCAAAACCTATCCCAAACTTGACACCTTCCATCACTTCCACTACTACTGCCCAACTCTGAGTAGCCATTATTAGTCACCTTGACAGTTGCGTGAGCCTCTCCCCGACTCCACCCTGAGTGTAGCAGTAAAATCCCAGCTCTGCCTCTGACTATAACTTTAAGGAAGGGACTTAAGTGCATTCACTTGTTAAATTCTCTAAACCTATGAGGTAGGGACTCGAGTCCCACTTTACAGATGAGGAAATTGAGGTGTAGAAAGTTAGCCAACTTAGCCAGAGTTACACCACCACAGCAGCAGACACAGAATGGGACACAGGTCAGTTCTGTCAAAGCGGGTGGGTCTCTCTCTCTTTTTGCCCCTCGTATGACTCAATTAGGCCTGGGAGTAGTGAGTTAACTTTCACCGATACCAGTGGATCAATCACCCAGGTCAGGGTTGGGGTGTCTCAGCCTCGGCACTACTGACATTTTAGGCCTGACCATTCTTTGCTGTGGGGGGCACTGTCGGACGTTGAACAGCATCCCTGGCCTTTACCCACTAGAAGCCAGTAGCACCGCCCTACCCCTGACGCCCAAACTGTAACAAACAAAAACGTCTGCAAACATTGTCAAATGTCTTCTTGGGGTTGGAGGTGGGGCACAAAACAGTCCCAAGTGAGAACCACTGAACCAAACTGATTATTCCCTCCCCCAAGCATAATGGGCAGAACTTACCTATCCTACACTAACCTCTCCTATCCCTCACCACCCAAATTTATTAAGTGTTTAATCAAGAAAAGTTATTTATCAGTGGCTTTTAAATACAATATACTTGAACCTGCTGAAGTCGTCATGGAAACACTTCCTGGTGACTTACAGCAGCGAGCATGCCCACTTAATACCAACAGCTAACATTAACTAAGCATTGATTTTATGCTAGACTGAGTGCCGTTTACCGGCATGACTTCATCCGAAGTTCTTATCCCTCTTAGGTGAAAGCATTATCCTGACCCCTACATATGAGGAAACTGAGGCACGGACAGATGAGTCACTGACCCAGTATCACTGGGCAAATGAGCGACAGCGCTGGAATCCAAACGGCGTCTCTGCCGCTCCGCTCTGCGGTCCACTCCGGCCAGAGGAGCTTCCTGTCCTCGGAGCTTCCCCGCCGTGGACTCTTCCTCTCTTACTCATGCAGCATCTTCTCCCCAGAATTAGGTCCTCTCTGACCGCTCCCCCTCACCCGAGTTTCCGGGCCCTGCCTCAGCATCCACCCTGGGAGACCCGGGCCCGCGACACGGAGCATCCCTAGGCTCTCCACCCGCCTTACCCGCTTCTCCTGCATCTTTTCGAAGGCCGCCTGGGCCGGGGTCCGCTTGTCCAGACCGCGCCGCTTCTCCTCCTCGTTCTTTTTGCTCGTTCCCATCGCTTCCAGAAGTTTCGCCTTGTCTTTGTCCTTCTTTTTCTTCTTCCTGGGAAGGGAGACCGGGGGGTAAGAGGCAGCAGTGGCGGGTCA